CCATGTATATCACCCACCTGCATTTGTGTCCACGCCCTTTTCTTTTGCTCTTATTACTATGGATAAATAGCTCATAATCCTAGCAATAGATAATTCCTCCTCTTGTAGATATGTATCTACTCTGATTTACTTAAAAACACTGCTCTTCTCTCCTGCAACATCGATTTTTCCATATCTATTGGCTTTCTCATCAGCATGCAACATGCCAGTAGTGGTGAATCTATGGCATGTGTGCTACATTGGGCTGTTTGCATCATTGAAAGCTACAAAAGGTACACCCACCTCACAATATGTCATTGTTTTGCACATCTTTAAATTTTTCTTTGTACCATATTATTATAGACAGGCACATTATGCAGAAGTTAGCATGCAGCTAGAGGCACTGGGCCCAAGGTAGTCAGGATGACCAGGTCTTGGTCAGGTAAACAGGAGGCTGAGGTCAAACATTAGTAAAAACCAAGTGGACAATTGAGTATAAAGATGTCACAAGCAGAATAATAAGCAATGTGACAATTTCTGCTCCTGCAATTAGGGCATGGCAAAACTTTTGGAGAAGTAGGCATGACCTGTTAATTATAAAACCCCAGGACACATGTACAGAGATATTCCCAATACACTGCACGTGGACTTCTCCTAAGAACTTGAGCAGGTTTTCAATATGATGACATAGATCTGATGTCAGCCTGAGTAGTGGGTGATACAAAAAGGACTATCCACACTGAGTTTTGCCACTGTGTTCTCTCTTGCATGGTGGCCCACCCTTACACTGTAGGGAATACTTCTTTTCCTACTCTTACTTGGCCCAAACGCACTATGAAGAGTCTGTTTCTTTTCCTACCTTTAATAAAATTTTGCTACCATTTGTGCTTGTCTTGATCAATTCTCAGGATAGAAAGAACTTAGAAACCACCTCCAGAAGGAGATTACAGCACCCCAAAAATCCAGTAACAACCCTATCTGGAAAACATTTTTTCCCTTCTCACTTTGTTCTTTTAATAAATGACTTGGATAGGATGGTAGCCAAGAGGAACCTGCAGACATAAACTTGTTATGTGCCTTGACTATTAAGCCCTTGTCTAGTTTGAACTGTTTTTAGTCCTACAGGTTGACTTTATTTGATCAGTGTGGTGTGAGCTATAGGTACTTTTTGGTATCAAAACTTACACACAAAAGTCCCCTTGGCAACTGACTTTCACTCCATCGCTCAACTTTAGAGCTATTTTCCTCATGTCAATAATCATTCTATCTCCTTTGTTCTGAAATTCACTCTTCAACTTTGTGAGACACATCCAGGTCACACCATTATGATATGGGTCTGCAACTAATGCTACATTTCTCTCCTTCCCTTTTTAAATAAAAATCATCATCAAGCTATATGTATACTATACTACTATCCTTTCTACTTGGTAAAACACATTCCTAACAAAATTGTACTGCTATCATTCCACTAAAAGCACTATCAAGTTTATAACTTCCTTTGCTAAATCTATTCTACATCTTCATCTTTAAAAAAGATGATCAGGGCTAGGGATTTATCTCAGTGGTTCTGTCGCCTGCCTTGAGAGCACAACGTCATGAGTTTGATTCCAGATACCAAAAAAAAATTTTTTTAAAGATGATCAGCCCCCTATTTCTAAAATTACTTCCTTATTTGACTTCCAAGTTTCCAATTTCTGTTTTTCCTCTTACTTTACACGCAACTTTTTTTTTCAGATTCCTTTGCTGGTTCCTTCTCCTAATGCTGGGGTGCCTAAAACTCAGTCCTTAGTCCTCTTCAATTTTCTAAATCCAAACACTTTTGATGAATTCATCCAAGCTATTCACTGTGAAAACTAGCTATATGAGTCCTAAATGTATATTGTCAGTCTAACCTTCTAACTGCCTGCTTGATAGTTCCACTTAAGTATCTAAAATGCAACTGACACTTAATAAATTCACATTAAAATTCTTAATCCCACCATCACATTTGCCTTCTGCCCCCTTTCCCAACTCAGTTAATGGAAACTCTATCTTCAGTTGCCTATGTTTTCCTTTAGTCTGCTCTCATCACAGCAGCCAGAGTAATGGTGTTAAACATAATGGATATCATTCCTGCAGTCAAAACATTCTAATGCTGCCTATTACTACAATAACTTACTAGACTACATTGTACTATCTGGCCACTATGTCTAAGATCACATATCCCTCTTCCATTCCAGGCCAGACACACAGGCTTCTTTGGTAATCCTTTAATGTATCAATATAAGAGCCTCTCCACATTTGCTTTGCTGTGTCTGGAAAGCTTTTTCCCCATGTATCATCTGGCTCACTCCCTCACTTACTTCCAGTCTATGGAAATGCTGCTTTGACGACTACCTCACAATCGTATTTTATATTGCTAAACACAAACTTTTTTACTTGCTTTGTTTTATAGTATTCATAACAGTATCACTACACTGTATATTTTTCCTGTTTTTTTTCTAAGTTCTATCCCCCTTAATTATAATGTATATTCCAGGAAGGAAGAGATTGTTCTCTGCTTTAATCTAGTGCCAAGAACAATACTTAACACATAGTAAGCAAAGGCTATTTATTGAGCTCTAAGTATTACCCCTGCGTCGATTTGTTAATGTGTTATGTAAGCAACTAACAAATGATATCCTTTCACTCTTGGTTCTATAACAAGTCTATAGTATTCTCTATGTGTTATCACCTTTATGAAGACAAGCCAGTTACAATGCTATTTCCCAAATGCTGTGGTCAGCAGTTACTGCTGACTGAAAAAAAAAAAAATCTTTGACTAGTCGAAGATTAAAGTGTTGCTAAAAGAACTTCCATTAAAATCCTTAGGACGTAGTAGAAGAAATGCAGAAAACTCTACTGAATTACTAGTTTTAAGCTGAATCCTTTCTTAAGTCCTGTCCTGCCCCATCTTCCCCAGTATCCCAGTGGTCAATGTGGTCCATCCTGGATATGGAGAATGGAGCGAACAAGGATGAAATCTCTTCTCTTCAAACTGTCACCAATTAACACAGTAGCTAACTCATGACTGATAAAGAACTGTTGCTGAATTGTGAATGGAGAAAATACTTTGGGAACCTATTAACTGAAATAGAAACACCGTCACCATGTCTCTGAGGCCATTTTAAACAATTCTCTGTTCTGCAGGGCTACCTTTAATCCATTAACTTAGTCCACAGTTGACTACATTCCTCAGGCTGCAAGCCCTAAGCAAGCAATGATGGACTGTTAAGATGTCAGAATGGTAAAAAATACTTCTGAGTATTTGCCATATTAACCATGAAAAAACAAAAAAAAAAAAAAAACAAGATGCTAAAGGATGAAATATCCTATTAAAAAGTAGAGGGGGAAAAACAAAAGTAAAAACCGTGGCGAAAAGAGGGAAACCACTTAGGGTACAATGAAATTCCAGGGGGCAAACACGGTAGTAAGCCCTACAGTGGAGTAAAAGCCAGTGTAGTTCTCATCACAGGCTGCTCTTTCAAGAGCCTCTAAAAAACTTCCTGCGAGAGAGCCAGGCGGCGCTTCCTCCCGAGCTGCGCTCCACAGCGGGGGCGTCACTCCGGGCCAGCTGTCCCTACGCCCGTGTACCTGC